AATTTTTATTCACTGCTTTTTGCTTTCTTTCCTTCACTTCCACCAGCACTTTCACTGGATAGAGGTCGCTTGGTAAAATATCTATCCAAAGAGGTTTGGCTTTGCATACTTTTTAAAATGTTTCTAAAATTACTTAGGCAAATGTCATTACTCCGAGCAGCAATACAGCCAGTGTGAACCTTTTCGGGATGTTTCTTTTCAATAAAACCAGTCACTTTCTGATAATACCTCGAGATTTCCTTTATCGTACAAGATCCTTCAACGACGAAGCAAACATGCGGACTGAGACTAATGAGCAGAAGTGAATAAAAATGGCGCTGCGAACTAATGTAAGTCATATGGTGAGTTTTTGTTCATATCGTGGAGTAAAAATATGTTCGAATTTCATGTCGTATCCTGAAAATTTCGTATGCTGGGCATTTGTATCCTGAGGTACCATGTATATATATATATATATATATATATATAGTAGTATGTCATGTTAAACATAGAGATTTTACTCACCAATGCATATTCTGTATGAGAATGAGGAAGCCACCATACTGTTCTATATAAATTCAAATATTGACTACCAAGTGCTATTGAACCAAATAAAAGTGAAACTATTTCAAATAATAATTCACTGTCTGTAGGAATATCAGGAAGAGGAACATGTTTTGGATGAGATAACTGAGATGAAACTTGATTTTCACTTTCATTAGTGTTAGAAGACCTTAATAAAACAAAAAAATAATATATGTTAAACTTTTCATTAACTTTAATTTCTATTCTTAATTTAGTAGTGAGGTAGCCTTTAAATCAAATTTCAAACTTAATTAATTAAAATTATTCTTAATGCATCCAAAAATAATACAGGTATACCTCACCTTACGTTGGTAATTGGTTCCAGGAGAACTNAAAATTATTACCATTTTTTCTATATAGTATTTTAAATTATTACAAATAAAACAACATAATAATCCCAGAAAAAATAATACTGTACAAAGTAAGTTTTTGGATGAATATTTTGACAAAAAATTAACTTAAAATTCAATCTCCCAATTTTAAACTGGTTATAACGTAATATATAGTGTATAATTATATTTCAATTTAATGAAATTTCACCTTACAAACAAAATTCTTCATCCACACAGCTTCATTACACTAAAACTTCCAAGTTTTTGTATTGAATTATTAAAACTGAATACAGTAATTACAATTCAGAAAAAGTTTATTTTGTAAAATACCAATAGATTTTTTTTTCTTTAAAAATCAATAAAATAAAAAGAAACTTACCTTTTTAAAAAGACTCAATTGAAGACGCCTCCCAATTAAAATTATACAGAATAAAACTTCATGAGGGTTTATCAAATAAAAATTCTAAAAAACAATAATAATGTATAAATAAATTTTATAAAGAATCAACATAAAATTTTTTATGTAATAAAAATAAACAAGAATATTTAATTAAAACTTAGTCACTGGGATACCATCCAACCTAATTACTTTAAAAATATGAATATAATGCATGAAGTAACTAGCAGAACTAACTGAATACTAGTTCTATTTCTAGTTTTGTCTATCTGGCTATATTTACTATACTACTAATTGATAATCACAAATGTCAATTATCAGTTATATTTTAATATGGTTTTTCATCCAAACGTGGATACATCTGGTCTTTACTTTTTGTTTGTTTAATTAAGTTACGGCAATGCAACACTTGGGCAATCTGCCTAGGGGGAATAACCTTTTTAAGGATAACTGGCTCCTATTCAGGCATTACAGACGTGGAGAAAACCCAGAAAATTCCATGTGGGCAGCCCACTGGTCAGGCACAAATCCATAACCAAACTCCCAGTGTTCAGGGAACAAAACTGCTTGGCCACTGGTGGCAGGGCCCGCTCTAGGGGTGGGCAACCCGGACATTTGTCCGGGGCGCCAAAGTTTAGGGGCACCATTTTGGCTGTAAGCGTGAGAAAAGAATTGGTGTGTTAAATACTCAATTAATAGAAAATTTTACTTATCAATTTTTTCGTTCACTAAAAATTTACAGTGCATATCGTATTTATATTGTTTATGTCTAAAAGCTAAAAATATTTACACTATTATTGAAAAATTAATGCAGAATTTGTAAAGGACGATGCTTGAACTTGCATATACTTCTCTGAACAGAATAGCATTAGAATTCTATGCTATTCTGTAGAGCAGAATAGCAGAGCAGAGCACTGCTTCAGCTTCTGTTTGAACATACATAGACTCGCTTATACTTACCTCTAATTATAAAAGAGCGGTTTCATTACACAATAGCATTATTCTTGCTATTACATTGATACTGATAACAAGTGGAAGTTCATAAAATTTACTTAAGTGCGATTTCTTAATTTTTAAAGGTAAGTACATCTATAATTAAGTTGTTGTTTAGTTTGATGAATCGTCTTAATGGTTTGGCCATGTTGGCAATTGAGCATGAAATTGCTGATCAAGTAAATTTAAAAGATGCAATAAAAAGTTTACAGAACTGAAATTAAGAAAAAAAGTTTTTTGTGATTTTAGTGGAGTTGATGTTACCTTGTTTTATTTTCAAAATAATGACATTTTGATTGTTTGTGCAATAATACATTTTTAATAGCATTTAAAAATGTAAAAAATTATATGGTTAACAATTTGTGGCTAGGTACAGACAATAAATAAAAACAAGAACTTATACTGGAATGAATAATATAAATAAAATAAAATAAACCTTTAACTATCCAGCAATAAATAATGTTTAATAAAAACGTTTTCAACCGTTTTTAAACGGCCATCTTCAGTTGAACCAATATTAAAAAAGAACACTAAAAAAAGAACGCATGAAATACAAATTAAACAGAAACCGAAATGCGCATGCGTACTTCATCGGACTTGCGTCAGATAA